TAGAAATGTTTCGTATTTTCTGGTGAACATTTTATCAGAAAATGGTAAAAATGTTTCGTGCAATCTAAAAACGCGTGGTTTGAGTTTCCACTTCGCTGTCTATCGTGCATTCTCGAACACAAAGTTTAGTAAAATTCTATACGGGGTGTACCAAAAGTCGCGTTATAAATAGATATGTTGAAGCTTGTCTCGTCGCGTCGGTATTAACTTGTCTGCTGTATATAGATATAATATGTTGAAGGAAAAAGAGAACTGCTTTACCTGCCGGTAACATTTGGATAATTGTTTTCTTTTACGTATTTCACATTTCATTGTTCCAAATTCGTAACATTTTTTATGTGCTTTTGTAATCCAAACTTTTAATTATTATTAATTTCTTTTAATTTACAGTCCAATAAATTTTATAGTTTATCATACTATTTACCGATGACAATATATATATTAATTTCTCAAGTTTTAACTGTTATTACTTCAAATTTTAGACAATTTAATATTAAAATTTTTTGAGTTTGAATTTAATTTTGAAAATTTTTTGTCAATTTATTTATAATTTAAAATTAAGAATAAAATTATTTTCTAAAAATTGAAAAATTTTATAGAGATTTTATAACTAATTATAATCAAAAAATGTTATTTTAAAAACCATAAAATATTTTGTATAACTTTTAAAAAAATGATTTTTTTTAAAAATTAATATTCAGTATATTGACATTTCTCACAAGCGCAGTTTTAATCTCCTCAGTTAGTATATAAAGAAACTCAATTCTTTCATCTACAAGTGCGAGTTATATTGTATGTGCGTTGCGTCAGAATTCGTTTATATGTATGCGTATTTCCGTTAAGTTAGTGTCAGAATAAAATAAGCCAATCCAAGCGAACCATTGCGTTGTAGAGGGCAGTCACATGTGTCGAACCAATCATCTATCTCCTATAGAAGACGAGAAAAAATGGTCTTGAGAGCTCATTGGTACATTAAGAAATTCTTTTTTCTGCTTTATTCGTTTTTTTCTCCGTGAATATTTTTTTCCGTGGCGCATGCGCTTCAGGCTAAACATTTTACAAAACTCTTGAATTAGAACGTCCAACCGATCATTTGTGAATTCCATAGAATTTTTTTTGAGTTTTCGAGAAACGCAGTCATCATATATTACTATTGATTCTGTTTTATCTTATACTAAACTCCTCTCCGTATCCGCTATTCCAAAATTAGTTTCGTAAAATGTACTAAATTAATTTTTTCCGTGTAGATAAATTTACAAAAGAAATAGATAAATTTGCTACATTGAAATAGCAAGTTTTAATATTTTGTGTAAGAGTTGTAAATGTAGCAAAAATTGATTATAGTTTTCTCTAATTTAATTAGACAAAATCTGACAAATGAAAACATTTTCCACTAAAACCTACTATCCACTGTAGTAATTTTTTGTGAGCAAGTGTGGCTAGCGAGTGCAGTCATATGGCGTCTGCATTTCTATTGGTTGCTAACTTCGTCAATCTCCGTAAATGAGCCGATGCCATCCGATCATTGACAGTGACTATGTTTCGCGTATGTAAAATAAATTTGGAATATTATCTGTAGGTCGTTCGTTATCTCAGAAATTGACCATTATAAATTAATAAATTTTGCATTTATTCCTGTCCCAAGAACTATGTCTTATAATAAGTTGTTAAAAGTAAACTGCTTTCTCGTAAGTGCTGTAAATTTTCATCATTCAATATATAAGGAAACAAAGATGTATACTTTCAGTGAAATTCGTTGTCGTGCGTGCAGTTGTGTATTAGTGTATTAATTAACCGCGTCTATACATATCAGTGAAATAAACATGTGTGTGTCTTCAAATATTTATCCAACAAATACATAAGTGTGTGAGTGTGTGTGTCTGTGTATGTAAAAATCCTTCCAGTTTATCTCCATTAGTCAAGAATTGACGGGAAACCGGCGATAAAAATCCGTATTTTTTCTTTCACTCTTTCTTTCTGCATTTACAAACCACTATAGTAATTTTATGTACACAATACTTCTGAGTTTACTACAGTTGTTTGGAACTATTGGACGAAATAGTAAGAAACTTTGCTAATTTGGTGAACATTTGTCGGATTAGTGACTTAGTGTAGAAAATAGTAAAAAATACAAAAAGTCCCCTTATTTCCGGTGGTTGCAATGTGAAAATAGTAAATTCTAGTGTGATTTTATACAAAAATTAGTAATCTCGGTCTCTCCGTGTATAAACTTTAAAAAAAGTTATGTGAAATTTAGTATAACCATATCAAATATCAAGAATATTAATTAAATTTTAATATAACTGTACTAAATTTCACATAAGTTATTATAAAGTTTAGTATTCTTTATATCAAAATTTTGCTTTGTTACGCACTTTTTCCCCAAATTTTAAAATACTTTTCAAAAATTTAATATATTTTTTCTCCTTGTTAAGTGTAAAAGTAATCATTATATATTAAATCCAGACACAAACTGTAACATTCGACTTTTTTCACTTTTATACAAAATTCCACCTGCTAATTAATGTCCCTAAAGTTAGCATCAACGCTCAGCATAGAAAACTATTTGGGGTTTCCAGAGCTGAAAATGTAACTAATTTTACTTCTTTCATTCCCTTCGAAAGTGAAAAATAAGTTTAGGGCACGTTTTCAACCCAGAAAAGTTGTTTTATTTTCATTTTTGCGAAAAAACGTTTTTCGATAAAGTGGGAGTCGACGCTAACTTCAGAGACCTATTAATTAATAATTATTACCAATTTCTAAATCAACTTTTAAGTAATATTTATTCATTTAACAATAATTATATAATAAAATTATAAATAAATTTAAAAATTATTTCTATATAATTCTTAAATATTTTAAATTAATTTAATTGATATTTATTTAAGTAAGTCATAAATAAGTGACCTGAATGAATAAATCACAATTTATATTACTTATGTTAAATAGTTACATTTTCAAAACAAATAAAAATGTATCATTAATTTTTGGTTTTTAAAGCTTTCATTAAAATTCCTATCTAAAAGTTAAATATGTTCTATTCTCTGTAGTGAAACAATAATTGCTTACTTAATAAATTTTACTAATCTTTTTCTAAATTAAAAGTATTTTCTTCTCATGGACATTTGCTTTTAAGCGTATGTTATATGAACATTTCTCGACGTCAACGTCTTGATTAACCAAATCAGAGTTATAGGAAACTTGAATTTGATACTATTAAATTATACAAATCTACGCACCTGTACAAGAATGAATAAGTAGTTGGAAAAGTTTACAAATACGGTAAAAGCTGGGTAAATAATTTAACTGCGAAAGCTAAGTTTGAGAAAAAAGTAGTTTACAAAGTACCCTAGTAGAAATTTGTCATAGTATCTTTAAGGGCACTGGACAGTTCCACTGGAAAATTTCGAGGCACTTTACAGTTAAACTGGCTAAAAACTATAAAGTGATGTCACGCTAATTTCTTCAAGTTATTGTCCAGTCAAATTTTACAGTTTCTGATCATCAGTCCTGTAGAAAAACTATACAAAATAATTCACTTGGAAATGTCAAAACTTTCTTTATATTGACGTTACGTATTAAACACGTACAAATTTGAAAATATAACGTTAAATTTTTTTGTCAACAAATTAAATAAATTAAAATTTTACGAAACTATATTTTTACTGTTGGTGTATCTATTGTTCCGTATAATAAATGATTTATAATAAATTATCTGTAAAATTATTTTTAAATAACTACATAATTAAAAAAAAATATAAAAATTACTGATTCTTGAACACATGTCATTTTTTTACATTAAACAACATTCACTTTTTCCTTTAATTAAGCACAACACTGAAATAAATATTATTATTTTATCACACTACAAACTTATAAGTAAACCCTAATATGAAGAATTAATTCAGTTCAAACGAAAAATATCTAGCGGTTTCGGGGAGCGAACTCGGGTCACACTGGGACGAAATACCTAAACGCACGCTTTACGCATCACGGCCGTTCTAGTCGATGGACGATTCCGGAAAAATAAGAACCATACTCTACCGGCAGGTAAAGCAGTTCCCTTTTTCATCTTTTCTAGCTCAACTGGCGAATTACTGGACAGCTACTGCATAACACTCTAAAGTTGAACTTATTGATTATTACTGTATAGAAGTTCTGTCTGTCCAGTTATTCTCATGGTACTGTCTAGGCGTTCCGTGAAATTATGTTTCAAAGTTTGTCGTGGCGTTAGCGCTACCGTCAGTCCAGCAACTGAACAGTGTTGTGTAGACATTTTCCATAAATACATCAGAGTATACACTGAAAGAAATAATTCGCGGGTGTAACTAGAATTATGTCTATTTTTTCCGTAAGGAATTAGTAATAAATTGTTACTGTCTACTGTCATTAATTATAGACAGTTCTGTTATTCAGATCGGAGAGCTATACATATGTCAACGTCAATTCATCAATGTAAAACATAACCTCACTTTATTGGACCAATTCTAACTTTTTGTATGTAACAGGTTTGTTAAATTAATATTTATACATATAATAAGAGTATATAATCTTGAAAAGAAATTGTCTTCTGAATTTAAAAAATTAGTTATTTTAATTAACTCAATTAATTGAAGCGAATTTTAAAAAAATTTTTTTTTTCTAAAGGAATTGTCATTAAAAATAAATTTTGATTGAAAAGAAATTTTTATTATTAAATCAAAATTTTAATATTAAATAATTTAAAAAATTTGTTATTTAGTTGTCAACAGTAAAATAAAAGAACAAAATTAAAATTATAAAAACTATAAACTGTAAAACCAAAAGATTTATTTTATAGAAAATATTTCGAAAATGTCAATACACAACTGTTTAGTTACTGAAACTGGCGGTAGCGCTAACGCCACGACAAACTTTGGAACATCATTTCTCGGAACGCCTCGACAGTGCCATGAAAATAACTGTACAGGACTTCTATGCAGTAATAATCAAGTTCAACTTTATATTTTCTTTAACAGTGTTATGCAGTAGCTGTCTAGTAATTCGCCAGTTAAGCTAGATTAAACTTCCATGACTAAAACTGTACAGTAACTTGAATAAATCTAGTCATGCCACGACAAATTTCTACTAGGGTAGTTAAAAGATGTCTCGAAAATTTCTCACCAACTACAATCACCCATTATTCATCAAAAAATTAAATTCCTGAAAAACTATAAATTAATGTTTTTTAAATAGTGATTGCAGCAATAATGTAGATTCATTGTCTAGATATTAATTTTCTTTAAATTATTTCAAATTTGAAAAACTTAATTAGAATAATAGAAGTGAATGAGTAATAAAAATATATATTATTATTTTAAAAAAAAGTCAGTGTTTTATAATTATAATTGAAACAGAAAACTGTTGAAGCTGATAGAAAATTACGTAAACAAATTGATAGCACCTTAATTTTCATCTATGCATATATCCAATTTCAAAAAAGTTGATAAAATTGTAAAACATTTTGTATTATGTAAAAAATTATAAATAAAACATTTTACAAATACATTATTAAATAAAAGAAAAATGTTAAAAGATAGAGTAAATGCACCATATTTGAGCCCTTCTGAACCTTTTATCGCAGCTGATTCATCATTGATAGAATAATCCACCATTGGTGCATCTACCCTACTTCGTTTCTAAATTAAAAAATATTGTTCTCGCTCGAAGTTTCATGTCATTTTTGAAATTGAAATATGTATAATTGTATTCAATCTAAAGTTGGCTTGACTCAATTAGAGAACCATTAAAATAGAGATGAGAAAAAGTCCCAAAAGTCCTCGATCCTGAAGTTTAGATGATCCAGCTGCAATGATCAGATCTGGGCCAGTCCAATCTATTTCACTCATTCCATCAAGGCACTCAAATTCACAGCATCTCTCCCCAACTCGAAACCTCTTACATCTCTGTGGGATAAAATCAATCTGCGGTTAATTGCCATTTCCGGCTCAGTGATACGCTCTTGGTATCTAAACTACACCTATAGTTATATCTACGTACATATATGTATACATAAATCGAGAGTCTGTCGTGACCCAATTTTCGACATACATATGTTCGTTTACTGCCAAGTTGGCACTATCCCTATAATCGATCATTTAAAAAAAAGAAACCATAAATTGTCAACTTTACGTCACTTTATAAACAATGCTTTTACTTTTTTCTTCCCAGAATTATTCGATTCGATTCTTTTATCCCTTTTGAAAATAAATTATTTTTAATCTAAAAAGTTTGTGTATCCAAAGACCCAAATAAAAAACAAATTTTAGAAGTGAATTTCTCTATTTATACTTTATACATATAGAATTATTATTGTTTCGTATGCAACATTGTGATAATTAATTTTGCAAAATTCAAACAGTTGACGAAAGTAACAATATTTCACCTCAGAGCTGTAATTCAGTAATATAATAAATTAATAATTATTTACTGACTAACAATAAATGTATTCATTTCAATTAATAATATGTAACATTTTTACATTTCAAATATAAAAAATGATATTCTTATAATTTCTTAGAAAATTTTATTATTTGAAAAAAATTATTGGACGTTTCAAAATAGACACTTTTAAAATTTAATATGCAAGTTCTGATGAGGAAAAAAGAGAAATGAGTTTGATCTGAAAATCAGTTTAAAGTAGTAGGCCATACTAAAAATATAACGAATTATTTTAAGAACCTGAATTTCGATTCAACATTTACTCTGGTTCTTTGAGAATTTTAGGAAATTATTGACTTGGAGACCTTATTTCCATTGTCATTATTTTTTAATTGAAAATGTTGATCGCGGCATTCAAAAGTGCGAACCCAAAAAAGTTCAGAAATGGATTCATTGACTAATAGGTTTTTTTATAACATAAAGACTGAAGTATTGAATTCTTTTGATGAAGAATAAGTAGCATCACATTTATGTGCGGCAGAAGAAATGTTCAATTTAAAAATTTTCATATAGAAAATGTAATCTACACTACCGTCGGGAATTATCGGTACGGCTGCACGCGCACGGCCCAAAAACATACCAATCTTTAAATCACGATTTTTTTGTAAATACAAATGTCAGAAAATTAACAAATATACCATTCGAAAGATTATTAAATTCTACGATTAATGGTACATAACTGAAAATTTTAATAATTTATACAAAGATTGCAGCAATTAACAAATTTGACAAAAAATTTTAAAAATACAATTTTTTTGGAAATTTTTTCAACCTCTGCACATTTTTTAAAAATTGCAGAAAAAATTTGAAACTTATATAGGTGTGATCATTCAAGTCTCATCTTTAATTTAAGACCAAAAGAATTCAAAAATCTTAATCGGTTAGCGAGATATCATTATAAACGGACGAGCATTTTCAGCCAAAAACCGTTCAAAATCGACTAATTCAATGCATTTGTCAAAAAACATGCTCGGAGGTACATAATGATATCTCACGAACCGAATAAGATTTTTAAACTCTTTTGGTCTTAAATTAAAGATGAAATTTAAATGATCACACTTATGTAAGTTTCAAATTTTTTCTACAATTTTTAAAAAATGTGCAGGGGTTGAAAAAATTTCCAAATAAATTGTATTTTTAAAATTTTTTTGTCAAATTTGTCGATTGCTACAATCTTTGTATAAATTATTAAAATTTTCAGTTATGTACCATTATTCGTAGAATTTAATAATCTTTCGAATGGTATATTTGTTAATTTTCTGACATTTGTATTTACAAAAAAATCGTGATTTATAGATTGGTATGTTTTTGGGCCGTGCGTGTGCAGCCGTACCGATAATTCCCGACGGTAGTGTATATATTTTTCCCCTTCAGTTACGAGAACATGATCGATTGAAAATAGTTTCGAGCAGAAGATATAGTACAAGTACGTTTAATTTTCTTTTCTGTTTCATATGCAGTAGGTAGATGAATCTTCAATTGAAAATTTTTCATAGACACATATACATAGAAAATGTAAAGCTTTATTGGAAATAAGACTGATGTGCATATGGAAGGAGAAAACAACATTTTCAAAATAAATAAATAAAATTTAAACTAAATTAAATTTAAATAAGAAAACAGAAACGCTAAAATAAAAAAACGCATGTTTTAATTTGTAATAACAAATATGTGCCAAGAAAACTGATGTAACCGGCATGGCATCGTCCTAGTCATAAACAGAAATTAGAATAACCCTAGGATGTCCTTACGATATTTCAGGACGTCCCTAGGATATCCTGGCTATTAATTGATTTCGAAAATATTTTTCAGAAAAAGCAGAGTTTAGTGAACAAATCTCATACACTTTAGATTCATATACATTGATTTCATTAAAAAACAAATGAAGATTAATTAAGAATAAAGAAGAAATGAAGATTAAAAACAAAGAACAAATGCAATTTTCTCTTTGAAAAATCTCTAATCAACTAAAAAGTTACATTATTCAAACAAATAAAATATTGTACTTTAAACAAATTATTAAAGATTACTTTGACGCTAAGTGCCCATATTATTCATGTAATACACAGTAAAAAAAAAGTCTTATTTTAAGGCACAAAAGGTACCTTAATTTAAGATGCAACATTTTTAAGACAGCCTTCGCTTATAATTTCAAATAATATTTTTTGCTGAATTTAAAGATCCAAGCAAGCTGGTTACCAGCACTGAATATGTGCTGAATTTAAAGCAATCATATTAAAATGTCAGCAGGTGTACACTTTTTACATCTAAATATATTAAAAATTCGATTACGTTTACCCAGTGGGCACTGGGACATCTAAAAGACGTCCCTTTTTGTCCGCGGACAATTCGGGGACAATGATGGTAATGTCTCTGAGTCATCAAAAAGACAACTAAAAGACGTTCTATGTCTGGTCCAAAAGACGTCTAAAAGACATAAAAAAGGACGTCTAAAGTACGTCTTAAAGACGCCTTTGGACGTCTAAAAGACATAAAAGGGACGTCTAAAAGACGTCTTTTGGACGTCCTTTTTACATTTCTTCAGATTTTAAATAGACATTTCTTTTATAACATTTCCTAAGTTGAAACACAGTAACATTGTATTAAATTTATTTTAAGTTTAATCTTATTTTTCTACATAAAATGTGGAGAAATAATGAAAAAATTCCTACGAAGCTGGGATCGAACTCGGGTACCTTGGGCTTGAAGCACTGCGCCTTAAGCATCTTAGCCGTTCCAAGGCAGATATAAACATCTACAAAGTTAACGATCTCACTTGTCAATGAAATGAATTTAACTTAGAAAAATTCCAATGAATTTTAAATTCATGAATTTCTAAGTCCAAGTTAAACTTAGAAAATAATATTTTCTATTTTCAAAAGTTGAATAAAAAAGACGTCTTTCAGACATCTTAAAGACATCTAATGGCCAAGACACAGAACATGTATAGGACGTCTTTAAGACGTCTTTTTGTACAAGTCCAAAAGACGTCCGCAAAAAGACATCCTTAGGACGTCTTTTGAACAACTGTGCCCACTGGGTATATTGTTACTTATTTTCCAAAATTTATTTAAACTCTTTTGCATTAAACATATTATTCATAAAGATTTCTGGGTCAGTCCATTATATTTCACCTGAAACCGTTGCGGCCTATTTTTAAAAAAATCTCATAATTTGTAAAAATGATGTCTAATTATTATGAGATATTTTATTTATATTCCCGTGTGGAAATTGCCACCTAGTAATAAGGGGTGAATTAAAGTGTATTGGCACTTTTATGCTCTTAAATTCCAAAACAATTCCGTTTTTGTCCGCAATCTTAATGAATTCCTTTCCTATTGTTAAATTGATAATTTCTATCCAATTCAATCCTCTGTAACCACGTGACCAGAATTTGAAACCCCTTTGATGCCCTTTAAAGAATTCAATGTTAATTAAAAGGCATTAACTCCACACAAAATGATTCCCTTAAACGGCATAAAAGTAAATTCAGACTCTGGTCACGTGGTTACAGAGAATTGAATTGGATAGAAATTATCAACTTAACAATAGAAAAGGAATTCATTAAGATTGAGGACAAAAACGGAATTGGTTTGGAATTTAATGGCATAAAAGTACCAATCCACTTTAATTCACCCCTTATTACTGGGCAAGGTTTGCCAATATTGATTATTGGGTCTATAATGGTCCTAGCTTGGAATGTACCTTAACCTGGCCCTAGCTTGGTAATAGCTAGAGCTTCTTGTTAGATTATAAGTTATAAATATATTTAAAAATATGTATCAGTAATTGTTTGTGTAATTTGAAGTAATATTTAAACATCTCATAGCAAGATTGAGACAATATTGAACTGAAATGTTTACTTTTAACTTTTCATTTGTAAAATTTGACAGATTATCAGTAGAATTCTACTAATTGCTATTATCAGAATTGAGTTACTGATTCGATTAGTAAAATATAAGTTACTGATTCAATCTGTTGTATAAAAATATGACATAGTCAAATTTATTAATTTATCAGTTGAATTTAAAGGTTATGTTGATTTCTCCTTTGCCACCAGTATATTTACAGCATATCCACCCCAGTCCGACTCCTATGTATTTTGAAGGAAAAATATGTCAGCTTAGTGGTTTGCGTTTTCATGTGCCAAAAAGTAACACGTGATGGCGCTGTTCTCAACACTCGCTCAAAATTCACTAAAGCAATAGAAAAATATCATAGAAACGAATAAATTATTTGTTTTTATAATGAAATCTTGTTGTTAGTGATGTTAAAAATACACGATAAGAAATAATATTGTATTTTTAACTCATAAAAGATGATAGAACAATTGAATAATTAGTATGAAAATACATAAATGTGTCGTACAATAAACTGATGACTTTCGTTTAAATCGTTTAAATTATCAGATAAACTGATTTATAATAAAAGTTAAAGGAAAGTCATAGATAAATAGTATATTTAA